CAAGCTTGGCAAAGCACAGGGACCGCGGTTCGATCCCCAGCACCACATGCCAGCCAGACCCGCCCCCTGGTGGGCTGAGCTGGCCACACACACACACAATAAATAAATGTAATAAATAAAAATAAATAAATATTTAAAAAAAATTAAAATTAAAAATTAAATTAAATTTTTTTGTTAAAAAAAAAAAACACTTGTAGTTAGACAAAGTGACTTTGGGGGAGTAAAGGTGCCTGGCTGCCCTAGGGCTGCTTCTCGGGTTTTAGTGAGATCTGTAGGGTTCATGAGCCAGGGAATCTGTTTTGCTTCAGGATGCTTCTATGAGCCGTCCTGGTCACAGCTGCCCTTCAAGGGTCAAGCCTAATTTCTTCAAAACTCTACTTCCAGCTTCTTTTCTGTAGGATAGGATTTTTAAAATTGTGTGTGTGTGTGTGTGCGCACGCGCCCGTGCGCACGCACAGTGCTGGGGATGGGACCCAGAGCCTCGTGTATGTTAGGCAGGTGCTCTACCACTGAGCAATACCCTTGGCCTTGAACACATGATCTTTTAGAAATATTCCAATACTAGCTTGAGGCTAAGTCAGGTGACTTCATATCTCATTTCTGATGCATTCTGTTGCTCAATTAGTTTAGTTTTCTTTTTCTTTTTCTTTTTTTTTTTTTTTTTCAGAACCGAGGATTGAACTCAGGCCCTTGCGCTTGCCAGGGAAGCACTTATTCCACTGAGCCATCTCCCCAACCCTAGTTTAGTTTTCAGAGAACAACTTCACGTGCCTAATTCCAGGTTCTTGGGGAGATGCACCATATCGTTCCCTCAGTGATGCTTATATGCTTATACATGGCTTCTTGGAGGATCAAAACAGGAGGCAGGGAATCCTGCTCTGAAGGGCAGAAAACTCCAGTTGTGGCAACTTGAGGACCCTGATCCTTCCCTTCCCTCCTCTCCCATGCCTTTCTCTCCCTTCTTTTCCTTTCTTTTCCAAGCCTTTTCCCTCCCTTTCTTCTTTCATTTTTGTGGCACTGGGACTTGAATCCAAGGCCTTCACACTGAGCTCCATCCCCAGCTCTTTTATTTTATTTTTTTATCTTGAGAAAGGGTCTTCTTGCTAAGTTGCCCAGGCTTGGCTTGAATTTGCAAATTTCCCGTCCACTCGCCCGAGTGCCGGGATTACAGATATGTGCCACCATGCCTAGCTGGGGCTTTCACTCTTTGTAGTCATTCTGCTGTGTTGTTCCTATAAGTTCCCCAAAAGGTTTGGGAAGTTTTGATATTCTTCCATTTATTCTCCCACCTTCGAGATGGCCTCTTATACTTGAGAGCTACAACATCAAAATCTTAAGAGTACATGCCCAAGTTTTTGGTTCACAAAATATCGCCACTATTTTTTGAGCATCACTACTGATGATATGAATTGGCATAACCAAATAGTTTGAGAATCTTGTGGTCCTAAATGGCCTTTTGTTAAGACAAGCCTGTGCAGAAGGACAGGAAAAGCTGTGATCTCATACCGATCTGGATGATGGGGAAGGAGGCGCCTGGTCCCTGGGACTTTCCTCTACATGTATACAGATTAATCTAGTTGATAAAGAGAGGTAAACTTTGCGTTTCTGTAAACACTGAATATTTTAAGGATTAAAGATTGCTTGGAATTCAACTAATGTGGCTCCATTATCTTAAAGATGAAAAACTGAGGGCCAGAGAGAGGGGGGAAGAAAGAAAACAGAGAGAGGGGACTTTCCAAGTTTACACTGAAAGTTAGGGAATGAGCCTTAACAGAACCCAGCTTCTTTCTACCAGTATGTATGGCCTCCCGGAAGAATGTTGGTCAAGCTCCATGAAGTAAAGTTAGGTTGACCATTTGGGCGGGGCATTACCCCATAAAGAAGCATAAGATAGCACTGCATTAATGATTGCTGTCTGTGAATCATTACTAAATGCATAAGGAGTGATAGATCAGGCAGGGAGTATAGCTCAGTGGTAGAGTACTTGCCTAAGTTACTTGAGGCCCTGAGTTCCATGCTCAATGCCACAAAAGTGATAGATCCCAGAGGTTGTGCCATACTCCCGCATTGAGGGTCATAAGATGCATTGTCCCTTGGACTAATGAGATAGTTCAGCAGACTAAAGCACCTGCTTAGGCAAGCTTAGGCAAACACAGGGACTGAGGTTCAATTGCCCCCATCACATGCTTCCCAAGCTCTGCCCCCAGGGCAGGCTGAGCCAGCCAGAGTCCAAGCATGGAGGTGCACACCTGCAATCCCAGTGCTGGAGAGGCTGAAGGCAGGAGGACCACCATGAGTCTGAGCTGTGTAGTGAGACCTTGAAACAACCAAATGCATAAAAGTTTTTTAAAAAGATGCATTGTTCCTTCAAACCTGTCCAAAATGATTGACAATGAGGAGAACTGGCTAATACATTCTGAACCATGCTTGAAGCTCTTTCCCCATTCACTGCCATCTTGAGGACTGTAAGGTACCATCTAGAAATGTGTTGGGAGCAGAACTAGCTGGCTGGCAATCGCAGAAGAAATAGGAGTTGAAGAGAAGGGTCTGTAAGTACCTCTGGCTCAGTGTTGGGGGATGAAGCTGAGAGAACTCACCCTAGAAGTATGGATGAGCCCAGCTCTGAGCCATGGTACATTACTGCATGGTGTGGAGTGAGCCTGAACTTGAGGTTCACTGTAAGCTTCTCTACTGTGTGGCCTTAGACATAAGGCCATTTCAGCCTCTCTGAGTCTCAGTTGCATCATCTTAAAATTGGATAATTCTCATTTAGGAGAATCAAAGGAGATCATGTATGAAGGGAGCCTAACATTCCGCTTGATACATAGTAGGTGCTCAGTGAGTGTTCGTGTTGGTGGTGGTGATGATGAAGGTGATTATATATCTATACATTACATAAGTGGATGTGGACAAATGACCAGTCTGTAAGTGTCTTGCCATGTCAGGGCCTGGGATGTGATATGCTCAATCAGTGTGTTCTGGGGTTGAGGGTGGCTGGGTGAGTGGTGAGAAGACCAGCCTGCCTAGGGTAAAGGGTTAGTTTACAGGAGAGAGATAGAGTAGCTTGGCCTCCATTCTGTAGGTAGTGGGGTTTCCTTGAAGCCCCTTAGACCTGGTACCTGCGAATAATTGAGCTAGGCCTTAGAAGCAATTTTACTGCTTCATAGTGACATAGAAAGTGTTAAGGGCTGGCAAGATGGCTCAGCAGCATAGCGCCTGCCTGGAAAGCACAAGGTCCTGAGTTCAACTCCTGGTACAAAAAAAAAAAGAAAGAAAGAAATATAATTACATTCTCTTCGTGAATAGAGGGATTTGTTCTAATAGTATTTGTAAATAGGATATCATGTCTGCATCTTGTACAGCAAATAACCACTGGGAAGAGAGTATGCAATGTGTTAATTATTGAAACTGTCCTACCAACTTGATTTGAAACTGTTTCATTGCTATTTGTTTCTCAATAAAATTATGGAAAAAAAGAAAGAAAGAAAGTTTTAATAAATGTGCTAATGTGCTCCTAGCTTGGTCTTATGATTTTTTAGGGGGCTGAAAATGCTATAGGTTGGTACCATTGTCATCAGTTGAGTATGTACCATGTGCTGAAAAGCCACTCCAGAAAGGGAAGGATTCATGCCAATGCCCTTACCCCTGTTCCTTTTACAAGTGAAAAATCCAAGATTCCACATGATGAGGTAACTTTCCCAGGATTATGTGGCTCATGAGTTGTTGAGTTAGAAGAACTCTACCCACCCAACACGCTGTCACTTACCTGTCCCATTTTGATGATGGGACCTCCTCTCTTTGAAAAAAATGGCTCTTTCTCGAGCTCCACCTCCCTGCCCTGTGTGTTCCTTTGTCACTTGGCGCTCAGAGTAGATATACATTGACCCTCCTGCTGCTAAGATGACATCTTGGCTCTCCTAGCCAAAGACAGAGCATATGATGTGCTCATCTTTGTGTCCTTTCTGGCCACTTGGGAGAGGGGTAGGGTTCAGAGGGAGGAAGAAGACAACAAGGGGAAAGAGGAAGCTGCTTCCCACACTCTCCCACTTCTAAGGTCCCTGGCCCTCCTTGCCATTCCCTGCCCTCAGCATATCAGTTCCCCTGTCCTAAGTGTCCTTACCCAAGTCTGTATGCACACACACCAGCACATGTACACATACATGGGTGCACACACACAGGTATTTGCATGGTTTTCCAGGGAAGAGCAGCCAGAGGGGAGGAGGGTGGTTTGTATTTCACTCATTTCCTCACTTCCCTCAGAGCTGTCCCCAGTCCATTCTCTTCTCTTGCCCTCCCTTCCGCTCTGAAGAGCCTCATGATGAAGAAGGCAGACTCATATAGTAGAAAGGAGCCCAGCAGCTGACTCATTTACCCTCTCAGCTTCATCTTCTTCATCTGGAAAATAAGCAGGTTGGACTAGGTAATTGGCAAAGCCTCTTCTATGTTGTTAATAATACCTGGTATTTGTTGACTGGGTTCCAGAGGGCTTAATTATCCCAACAGTTCTACAAGGATTGGCCTCATGTTACAAGTGGGGAGACTGACGCTCACACTCACACTCACAAAGGTGAAGTGACTTCCGCAGGTCCCAGGGCTGGTAAGTGTTAGAGCCTGTGGGTCAGCTTAGGTCACTCTGTGTTTACAGCTCAGGCTTTTCCCCTTCTCACGGCTGCTGGCTACTTGTCAGGCCACTCCCAAGAGAGCCGCACTCCTCACTGTGACCCATTGGGCCCCACTGGTACCTCTTTGACCTCACTCCTAACTGTCCCTGTCCTGCTCACTCTGCCCCAGGCACCCTGCCCCCCTCGCTGCTTCTTCAGTTGTCCAGGGACTCACCATATCATAGCCTTTGCACTTGCTATTGTCCCTGCAGGAATGAAATACCCTTCCTCTCATTATCACAGTGTATGTTAGGCCTCAAGGCCACTGTTCAGGGCAGAAAAAAGGAAGAAGACAGCATATTCTGATGGTGTTGGTTTTTTTCTCTGTTTCCCTTTCAGATCTGATGGTGAGAATTCCAGAACAGTCAGGTCAGTACCTCTTTTCTTTACTTCATTAGGACATGGGGCAGAGCCTGGGTGGGAGTCTCTGGTTTGTTACTTTTCCATGAACTGCGTAGGGACTGATTTTACAGTTCTTTTCCCATTGGGGTCAGGGGTGGATATGGAGTGGAGCAGGGACAGCAGGATGAACATGGCAGGGGTAGGTACAGGTTGAAGTCTGTTCTTAAGCCTTTCTGGCCTTAGCTGACTCGGGGACTTAACTGAATACCACAGGGCCTCATAGGAGCTGGCCAGATGTGAAAGCCTGTGTCTGGAGAGGTCAGCTCTGGACCTAGGACTTTTTTCCACCTTCTCTGAGGAGAAGCGGGAACATGGATGCTGGACTTTCTTTGCTGATATTCTTGTTCTACACTAAACTGTGCCAGCTATGAGAAATAGAATTTGGATGGACTTTGGATGTGACATATACTAGACATTAGAAATATATATGGTGGTGACAAGTAAACATATTTCTTATGCTCTTGGTTAAAGTTTGAGTAAGTTTTAAAGGCATGATTGATCACCTGCTTGGGAGAGGCAGAGCTAAAACTGGAGCAGAGACAAGAACTTGGCCTTCAACCATCGGGAGCCTCATGAAGGTAGAAGTGTCAAGTATAAGGGCTATACAGAAATGATGAAGGACTCAGGGGAGGACCCAGTCAGACTTGGTGTCCAGGCTGGGACTATGGGATAGGCTCTGCAATGGGCTGGGCCTGGGAAGCAGAGGCCCAGGATGGAGATGGTCAGTCCCAGCCAAGGCTGCCACAAGTGTATATGGCTGGCACCTTTGTACAGAGTGGAAGAAAGTCCCCCCTTTCAAGGGCATCCCTTTTGAATGAATCAACTGGAAAAAATTTCCTTTTCCTCTGGGCCATGCTTACCGGGCTTCCCAGCTTGGTGAGTGATGCTCAGGTAGGGCATTAGCCCTTGTCTCTGCCCTCTGGGTGGTCCATAGCCTCCCCAACCATGTGCAGCAGCATAGGTCCTATCTTAGACAGTGGAGATGGGCTGGGGGCACAAGATGCAAGCACACAGAGGAATATAATCAGCTGGGTGTGGTTGGCACATACCTGTAATCCCAGCTACCTGGGAGGCCAGGGTTGGAGGATGGCAAGTTTGAGTGTAGCCTGGGCAACTTAGCAAGACCCTGTCTCAAAAACTAAACAGGACTGGAGATAGACTTCAGTGATAGAACACTTATTTGGCGTGCACAAGAGAAGCTCTAGTGGGTTCAATGTCTAGTACTTCAGAAAAAAAGAAAAGAAAGAGGTATATAATGAGACACATTCTGTGCTAGCATCTGTAACAGGGGATCTGGTGTGAACACACTGCTGCCCAGAGCCAAGGTCAGGGATGTGGGTTGGATGCATACTGAGGCCAGCATTAAGCAAGTGGAGGGTGATGGACAGAGTCAGCCCCAGGGCCAGGCAGGGGTGTATGATGAGACATAATTAGTCCCAGCATGCAGCCAAGGAGCATGGCACAAGCACAGCTTGTCCTAGCACTTCAGAAAGTACTTGTTTAGCAAAGGACATGGATCTCATGTCCCACTGTGGGCTCGGAGAAAGGCAACCTGGGTTGACCCTGAGCCTAGGGCCCCAGCAGGCAGCCCTGATGATGTGCCTGCTACTTGTTAAGAACCCAGATTGAAGGCATTTCGAGTTCTCACCTCTCCCATCAGGGAGTTCTTGGGCCCTAAAGTTCAGGTTACTTAATAATGACCATAATCATAAGTCATATGATGACATATGTTAGGCCTTTACAACTTACAGAAGTTGTCAGGGACTTTCTTTTGTTTGATCCTCCCAGTGACACTGTAGGTGGAACCTGGGCTGGCCTTATCATCATTGTTTTACAGTTGAGGAAACTAAGGCTTAGCATAGTTATGGGTTTTACCTGCAGCTGTACAAGTAATATATAGCTGAGCCAGAATTCAAACCCAGGTCTCTCTGGCAACAAGCCCAGAGCCCCGCCTACTCTGTCACCAAGGGAGCTCTTAAAGCCTTGAAGATAGTAATAATCATCCTCATCTTCATCCTAATATTAGTAATCATAGCAATTAGCATTGATTCCTCACATTCTAAGAACTCTGAATATGATCTTATTTAATGTTCACAGTAGCCTTATTAAGCCTGGATTATGAGCCCTGGTTTACAGATGAGGAAAAGGAGGTTCTGAGAGGGTCAGTGCTTGTCCTAAGGAAGAGCAATGGGCAGGGTGGCATGTCTCAGATTCATATCTCAGACTCTTTGGTTCTGAAGCCAGTGCTGATTTTATTCAGACTTGCTTCCTGAGAGTCATCTGGGCCCACAGTCAAAAAGTCTATAGGATCCTGGAGGATTCAGCAGGCAAGGGAGTAAGGGTCAAACTTGGGCTGTGAGAAAGGCCGGAAGCGTAGCACATAGGAGGTAAGACCTTGGAAACCTGGTGGGAAGAGCTTTTAACATGGTGCCATTACTGGATGGTGCCCCCTGAGAACATTCTCAGGCCCTAGATGTCAATTCTCCAGTCCATTCCAGCTAGGGGTCAGGGTCAGGCAGTGTTTAAGCTGGACTGTGCAGGGCTGCCTTCACAGAAGGGCATCCCTAGAGGCGATGTCAGCTTATAGGAAAGTGAGGGGTGGCTTCTCAAACTGGGGAGAATAGATTAAGCTAAAACTGAAGAGAAGTTCAGCGTGCTGGTCAGGGCTGGGTCATGGATACGTTCTACCACTAATGGGGAACTAAGGAAAGTTAGAGAAGCAAAGCTCTGTAGTATAAAAAAGGACAAATTTTAGAGGCTTGGGACTTCATTTTTAATAAGGTTGCTCTCCACTGCAGTTATGTGACTGCACAAAGCTGTCCTTTAGAACCCGTTTCCTCACCCCATAAAAACATGTACATGAGTGAGTGTGTGTGTGTGTGTGTGTGTGTGTGTGTGTGTCAATGGATTAGGGGAATAAAAGAAATGCTGAGAGGGACTAGACCTCGGCTGCTGTGCAAACTGAGCAGCAGGGAGTGGCAGGGTCCAGGCCCGATGGCGTCTACCTCTGGGTGCCATAGGTGGTGCGGAGGTTAATTAAAGCTGAGCAGCTGGTGATGGGGAGAGCGACAGAGGTACGTACGTGGAGTCCTGTAGGTCCACAAGTTGTCAGACCTAAAGGCACCTTAAGCCAAGGTCCAGAGAAAGGCCACTCATGGCTCAAGGTCACAAAGATCAGTAGAGCCTGCTTCCTAGCTGTTTGCTCTTTGTAGTCACTTAACTTCTCGGATCCTTAGTTTCTCTTTGATAAAATAGCAACGATAGTTCTGTCTTTTGAGTTGATGAGGAAACTTAAAACAGTGCTCCTGATAAAATGGTGCCTCAACAAATTGTAATGTCCTCGGCCCTCCCCTGACAAAATCCAGTCAAATGCCACAGAGCTAAACTTCAAAAACATACAGAAGTCTGGAACTTGAAGACAGATAGGAGCTGCAGCAGCCTCATTGATCCTCTCACCAAGAGATAAGGGAGTCCAGACCTCTAGGCACTGCTGGGAGAGAGGGTCAGGCTGGAACTCAGGCACCCTGGGGATCAGCCTGGGGTTGCTAGGCACGCAAGGCTGAAAGCTGGAGGAGTTGGCCTGTTGCTAGGGAAGGAGGGAAGAGGTGGGGGAGCCACTGACACCCGCAGAGCCAGGGACGTCCCCATGGCAACGGGAGCCACTGCATCAGGAGATGAAGTGGGAGGAGGAGCCACTGCTGGCTCTGTTCCCAGAGGAGGCCTCCTACTCTGGGCCTCAGTGCCCCCATCTGTCCAACTGGAGTTTGGATTAGATAATCTCAAAGATTCTTGTTTGTTTTGACCTCCTGGCAGTCTTGGATCGCCAAGACCTCACAACCTTTTTGTGGCTCTGCCAGTCACATGTGTAAGATGCCATCAGTCCCCAGAGCTGCCCCATCTGTGTCCAGTTCTTCCTTCCCATTCCACATCCTGTTTAGTTCAGTCCTGCTGCTCCCCCTGCCCAAGCTCTCCATTCATCCTGCTCCCTTTGCCTAGGACCTTCTCACTTACTACCTGCCAAATGTTCTCTGGTTCTGGGGTCCCAACTCTAGTCCTGTCCACTCTGGAAAGCCTGCTCTGGCTACCCTCATCCCGACTGCTTCTTTCTTCCAAGACTTCTCTGGCTCTAAAGGCCTGAGCACTTCCTGCTATCCTTAGGAATCACTGCTATAATTTCTTGAGCTGCTTCTAAGAGCCAGGCCACATAGGATGTTGGCCAGATTCCAATCTTTACAGTACATTTATGATGTCATATTGCAAAGCCCCATTGTGCACGTGAGACAACACTCTGGGAACGTATGGGATTTGCCCAAGGTCCCGCAGATACTATGTAGTACAGCCCAGTTGGGAATTGAGTTCTGTAACTGTTGCTGCCCCAGGCCTGAGGTGGGGTCTGATGGATCATGGCCAACAACGGCAGCAGCGCTTGCTATATAATGGCGAAAGCTGCCCTATGCCAGGCACCACATTGGGGACTTTATCTGTTTCTCATTTGTCTTCACAGTGATCCTATAGTGAATATATTCCTGTCATTTGAAGATCAGGAAACTAAGGTTTAGAGAGCCAAAATAATTTACTACATAGTAGAATTAAGATAGTAATCCATACTGTCAGATTGGCGATCACCATGCCAACCTGGGATTAACCCAGCCATACATTCCCTGCATAGCAGACTTATGTGGGGGTAACCATTGGGGGGACAGAAGCAAACAACTGGGCTCCCTTCCTGTGGGGCACTCCCAGTCTGGGGTTGCTACACCCACAAATGAGCCAGCTCTGGCAAGCCCAGATGAGAGTGTAACAGCGAGGTAGACAGTCAGTGTGTATGAACAAGGGTCTAGAGGAGTTGAGCTGGATTGTCACAGCTGGACGGAAGAGGAGGGAAAGAGAAGGAACTGGGGTAATTCTCCCAAAGGAGGTACCTTTCCAGGAAGCTCTAGAGGGACAAGAAGGGGCAAAAGGTTCCT